ATTTTTCATTCTCACACGATATCTGGCCTTATCTGACCTTATCTGATTATGTCTGGTCATTTATTGATTATTTCTGATATATGCCCCTGTGCCCACTCTCCTCTCGCTCTGTTCTCTCTGTTAGTGTGATTGTTTCCCCTTCAGGCTGTTTTTGAGTTGTCTACTTTGAAATACTCTCTTTTTGCTTTCTCTCTCTATACACTCTATAGAGAGTATAATAATAAATTAAAATGCCTATTTTTTATTATTCCCGTTGTATTGGTCTACACCCGTTGTAATTATAGACTAACTTTCTATTTCCCGTTGTATTAGTCTATGCCCGTTGTATTCATAGACTAACTTTATATTTCCCGTTGTATTCATAGACTAACTCACTTTATACTCACTTTTGCTCTCTTACACTCTCTCTATACTCTATACTCTCATTTTTATTCTTATTCTTTTATTTTTATTTTTGTTCTCTGTGTGTGTATACTCTATAGAGAGTATTATCCCCTCAGAAATATGAAAATGCAATTCCTCCTCTCTTTCTATTATACCTCTATACTCTTTATACCTGTCATACTTATCTGTTTGTTTCCCATTCTCACACTATATCTGACCATGTCTGTTGTTTGTTGTTTATACGCACATACTCCCATTCCCCTCACTCTGTTCTCTCTTTTTATGTGTTTGTTTCCCTTTCTTGTTGTTTTTGAGTTGTCTACTCTGAATTATTCTTTTTATATCCTCTCTATACACTCTCTATAGAGTATAGTATAATAAATTAAAATGCCTATTTTTTTATTGTCCCGTTGTATTGGTCTATGCCCGTTGTAATTGTAGACTAACTTTTTATTTCCCGTTGTAATTAGTCTAGCCCGTTGTATTGGTCTATACCCGTTGTATTCATAGACTAACTCTCCTTTTTTGCTCTCTTATACTCTCTCTATACTCTATACTCTCACTTTCTTTTATTTATTTTCTTTTGCTCTCTGTGTATAGAGTATAGAGTGTAATACCTCTCAGAATTACTAAATTACAATACTCGCTGTCTGTCTATACTCTTTCTATACTCTTTATACCTGTCATACTTATCTGTTTGTTTCCCATTCCCTCACCTTATCTGACCATATCTGTTGTCTGTTGTTTATACCCCTGTACTCC